ACTTCCTTCCTTCACCTCTAGCACTATTTATAAATGAGCACGATTTTCATGAATGTGCCTGAATCCCATGTAAGAACAAAAAAAAGATATGGGGAAAATTGATTCTTAAATGTGTTGATGTGGGTCTTTCGTTCATTCTGGATTATGTACCTTACAAGTAGAAAGCTGTGGTCATTCTTATTCCTGAGCACCTACTAACTATGGGCAATGTGCAGGCAATCTTTTATAATCTTTAGAACAGGAAAACGGAATTTATACTGAATTCATGAAGATTGCAGGGATGATTTTAAAATGGGAGGAAGAAAGAAGACAGATTGAAAGGGACTAGACAAATTACAATCCTTCTAAATTAGTGCTGGGTGGGAAAATTACCTTGCACTTTTTCCCACCAGTCCTCCTTCAATTTGTTGAAAGAGAATTGGTGTTGTAAAAGGTATCCCAAAGGGGAAGAGAATTTAGACGAAATTCTGATGAGTGGACTATGGTGTGCTCCAATAATGACAAGATGGCCAAGGTAAACACCTACTTTTCGTTGTACAATCTTCTCTCCAGCAGTCTGCAGAACCTCAGACTTCCATTTGATCCCAAGGGAAGACATTGGAATTCCTACCACTGGGCCTTTTCTGTTGGGACATCCATAAAGGCCTTTGTAAATGGTGCAGACAGGAGTGTTGCAGCAAAACGTCATGTTTGTGATCCTTACAATGATACATATCTAGCAATACTGGATGTCAGGTACTGTTCTAAATGTCTTCTCCTTATTTTCTATTCTTCAGTATTCCTTCCTGTCATTCACTGAGGAACATTTTAATTCCTATCATGAATCACTATTGGCTGGCATCAATAAATGTCTTACTCTCAAATTTTTCAGTGGTAATCTGTTTAACAGATCCAATATTTGGCTAGGGGTGCAAGGAAGTTCTCCAGATGTTTTGGACTTCTACTTTCTTCAGTCTTAGCCAGTATGATAATGGCAAAAATGTTCAAGATGCAATCCAGAATATCTGGAGGCTACTAGGTCACCTACCATGAAGTCTGTTATTCCTTAATAAAGCTATGCCCTAATCCAGTTAACATTTTGGAGTAAGGGAAAGCCACACGGGATGAAGCAATGATGGAAGAATTTTAATGGTATATTTTTGTGAGTGGAGGTTTCCTGTTTGAAACTTATTTTAGGAATGTGCTCCAGGGTGGTATCTAGCTGGTTGGGTTGAGGTGGTGCAAACTGATTAACTTTTTTTTTTTTTTGGCTCTTCCTGGGCTTATTCTGGTGCAGACCCTGTGCGCCCATTCCAGGCTGCTGAGCACTGTGCCTCCCACGACCTCTTCTTTCAACAACCATCCTCATAATGGGAGGCCAGCACCCTGGGCTGCTTGAAATAATTGACCTTTTATCAGGTCACAAAAGGGCTTCCAGTCTCTGTGTGAGTTAGTTCTCACACAGCCAGTGAAAACTAACATAACAAATATGACGTTTGCAAAAAGAAAAAGACAGATGGAACCAAGCCAGCCCAATCAGAAGAGGGACCCAAATAGTCCATTATGTAGGATGGGAAGGAGAAAGATAGGTTTCGAATATTGTTTCTTTTGATATGGCTTGTTCTTGAAATGCAGCAGTCACTGAAATTCTTTAGTTATGGCTTCCTAACTTTCTTCTATAATGATTACTTATGTGAAGTTCTTGAATATCTTATGAGCTTCCTAAGTGATTTATTCCTGCTTGTAGCAGGAAGCATGACAGTCTGAGATTACGTGAGGAGGGAATAAGCCCGTCTTCTGTTGCTTGCGGGAGGTGGGGGGAAAAGAGAGGATAGGAGCAAATAGATGAATAATTATTGGTACTGCTTGTTGCTGAATTTAGAAAATATCCATGGATGTGCTACATTTTGTACCACCAACTTTTAATAATAGTGGTTAATTTGTGTTTCTGGGGACACATAACATGATCTGGGGATCTCAGATTGCCGAGTTCTATCTTAAAGAGTAAGCACTAATGTTAATGTCCATCTTTTTTCTATCTCTTGAGCTTTCTGTATTACAGCAGGAACTTTTCTATACTAGGGCATATCACATGACCTACTGATGGCATTTATTCTATGTCTCTTCTCCAACTTAATTGTGTTATCAAGGAAGAATGTAAAAACAGATGGATCATATAGTTTATCATGATCATACATCATCCTAGTGCATTTCACTTTATTTAGTTTATTTGTCATTTGAAGAGATAATTTTCAACTCAGTGGAGTTTTCTTCAGATGAGAACTGCAAGAGGCCATGGTACAAAATATAAAACAAATATATATTGTGAGAATGTCTGTGTAAATCCCATAGTTGTTTGCTCTTTTACCATTCTTTGTTTATTTGGTGGTTTATTTGTTGCTGTTGGATAACTGATTGGAAAAAAAAAAACCAACCTTAATATATACAGAATGGAGCCAGGAGGAGTCGTGGGAAAACGTCACATATTTTCAGAATCTCTTTTCTTACTCACTTGATAAGCACTCTGTCCTGGTTCTTTAGACTGTTTATATCTGGGACACCAAGGCACCAGATGCAGAGAAATTGGGGTGAGAAATATATGCCAATTGTTAGACATGTTCTGGGAATAGCCATTTGGGACAATGTTCTTGTCTCCATTTCCAATGATCAAGTTTCCTACATGAAACAGTGTGGTTGTGTTTGTATGTCTATCTTATCCCAGAATGTTGCAAATGTAGCAGCTGAATTAATGGGACATATTGAACTTCCTTAGTTGTTTTGTGACTTACCTTGTCATGCAAACCCAGCTCATGTAATCATTATACAAGGCTATATATTGTCCAAACCCAGAAAATGGATGAATTCAACAATTATGTGGAACGTGTGAACCCAGAAAATGTATGTAGCTCAGAAAAAGAGAGTATAGTCTGATACCATCTCTACCTGTCATCTGGATGGCGATGCCATGAGTTCTCTATCATATCCTGAACTCATATGGCTGAAAGAGGCCCATCTAAATCTAATCTCCTGTATAAAGCAGGATCTGCAGAGAACAACACAGCCACAGTAGAAAGTTGGTCATCAAGCTTCTGCTACAAGATTCTGCCACCTCCTAAGTAATTTTATTCATTTAGGAGATAAGGTAACAGAGATGAGGCTCCTGATGACTGCATGCATGAAGACTTTTTTTTGGTAGAATGATGGAAGCAGTTTGCCGTTGCCTTCTTAGATTTTGTTAACTTCCCAGCAGCCCTGGAATTCATAGACAACCGCCCATCTGTGAACTATCTAGGCTCAACACTGCTTAACTTCTGAGATCAGTTGAGATCAGCTAAATGCTGCCACCTGCAGAAGCATTTCATTTAGGAAGTTCTTCCTAATCTTTAACACAAATCTTCTTCCACTGGCTCTAAGAGCAACAGAGAGCAACTTTTTGTAGGTGACAGCACTTCTGATACTGTGTCTCTCTCCAATTGTTTTTTATTATCTGGATTTTTCAACTGGTTGTCATAGGATTTGATTTCCAGAGCTCTCCAGTCACCCTCCTCAGAGCATGGTCCAGGTTGTTATTATTCTTCAAAAGTTAAATTCCAAACTAGGCAGGGGATCTAATCAATACAGAATGGGACTGCACTTTTCCCTCCCAAATTGGAGATGATCTATTCTACACTGTTACCATAATCTGGAGAGAATGGCTATGCATATACTGTAAGGATAAAAGGCCATCTTCCACAGAAGGGCTCTTGTGCCAGCTTTTGGACTGGTGCAAAACTCTTCTGCCAAGAGTGATTTAGCCAGAGTTTGAAAAGACACAGATATGGTGTAAGCTCCTGTGCCTTCCACAGTTTCACCTTTGTAGGTCATCTAATGGATCACTACACAGCCAGCTTCCCCCACCTGCTGCTCCTTGGATACATTAACACACAGCTACTTTCATTGTCATGCATCACAGCCAATGGCCATGCTGGATGGGGAAGATGGACAATGTTGCCCAGCACATCTAGACAACTTTGGCAGCCTCTGTCTACAGCAATTGAGTATCATGGATCTCTAGAAATACTGCCTGCACTATGGCCAGCATTCAACAGTGGGCAGCAATTCTACAACAAAATGCATTTATTTTATTTTATTTTTTTCACTTTTTTTAAATGCAGCCCCTTACATTACATGGTAAGAACAAAAAAACAGCAAGCCCTACGCATGGCATCATCACAATGTTTATAATTTATATTCATTTTATATTTAAAAACAAAAAGGAAGGAAGGAAGGAAGGAAGGAAGGA